ACCGCTTCGCTCACGGCACCGCCTGCTGGGCCACCGGCTGGGGGGACGTGCAGGAGGCGGGTGAGCGGGCTGGGCGGGGTCCGGGCCCGGGGGCTGCTGGGGAGGTGCAGCCCACTGATCCCTCTTCTGCGCCGCACCGCGGGGGCGTGTCCTAATAGCTGGGCCTCAGGGGGCGCGGGCCTGGGGCGGGGGTGCCAGGCCGAGGGTAAGCACCTTGCCTCCCCAGGGGCTGCCAAACTAAGACCCCTGCGTCATACCGCCCCACCCCCATTCCCTCCTCACCTCAGCTTCCAGTTTTCTTTCCTGGGTTTAGGATCAGACTCGAGTTCCCATCCCAACTCTATTTCAGACGAAGCACTACGCCCAGTTCACTTCTTCCTCTGAAAATTGAGGAAAATAGTGCCCACTTCTTAGGGTTATTGGCTGGATTAAATGAGAAAATCCAAGTAAGGTTTATAACACAGTGACTAGCCTATCTGTAATTCGTGCGTTTTAGCTATTTTTACTCTAGGGGATCCGAGCTCCAAAGCACAGCACCTGGTGCAGAGGAGGCCTTCAGCAAATGTCAGTGTCTGCCCTCCTTTCCCCCGTCTCCCTTTCTCCCATCTCATCCCCCCCAACTGCTCTCTCCTCCCCCACCTCCTGTCTTCTCCCTACTCACCCTCATCACCCTCATTCACTTATTCTATCTTTCATGTATTCAACAAATATTTTTTGAGGACCTCCTTGTGCCTGGCACTATCTTAGGCATTAGAGATATGCCAGTAAACATAGCAAGCAAAAATTCCTGCCTTCGCAGAGTTTACATTCTAGTGGGTAGACAACAATACTTATTTAGCTAAAGAAGCAAACACTTCTATTAGAAGGCATGGGAAGAAACGGACAACTTCCATTCCCATCATCCCCATTACCCTGCTATCTTTCCGTGTTAGCAAGGCCCCCACAATAATTCCAAAGCGGTGGTCAGACCTGTGCAATGCCACGGCCTTTAGAGAGGATACTTGGGGAGCAGATGCCACAGCCTCTGCTCGCAGGGGCCACATCAGGGCAGGAGGTGACAAGGAAGGGTCAACCTGAGCACCTAGGAAGTCTGTGTGGATGGGGCCAGGCCATCCTGAGAAAAGGCACCCAGAGCAGGAGATTTTTGGAGAAGTTTTGTGAAGTCAGGACATACGTTGGCATTACAAGAAGGTGGGGGGAGATGGAGGCCATCCTGGAAACCCAGGTGAGGCAAAGTAATGGAGAAGGGCCAGGCTACCAGGCTGGAGTGGAGGGGGCAGAGGCAATAGAGGCTGAAAAAGCTAGAGGGGCGGGGTGTTGGACCATGAGGGCCTTAAGGTCAGACTGAGGGCCAGAGTACCCCAGCAGCTCCAGGGATCCCCAGGACAATCCCTAAACTTCTCTGGTTGGCCCTCAAGTACAGCCTCAGCCATCACCTGGCCTCTCAGGATTCTGGGTGGGGAGGGAAGGAGCTCTGTCCACACTCTCCCCCACACTTGCTGGATCCTGAGACTTTGTGTCCATTGCAAGCAGGTTCACCTCAGGAAGGGACTGAGGTCTCAGGTTTAGACAGTGGGATCCATTTGGTTGTCCTTGGTAAGATTAGAGCGGAGCTTTAAAAACATTTCTCTGGCAGGCAACAAGTGAAGGGTGGGTTGGGGAACAGATCAGTGAGGAGGCCAGGCCAATCATCCAGGCTCAAGGTTTTGCCTCCTGAACTAGGGCAGTTGCAGTAAAAATGCCAAGCGGTCACAAATGATAGGTTTTCTCGACTTGGGAACTTATTGGGGAGAGGAAGTTGAGACAGGGGTCAGGGATGACACCCAGATTCCATGCTTGGCAACTTGATATAGGACCACACCTAGTGTATATGGCATCTTCGTTGAAGGGTCCCCTCTCAGGACTGACACAGCCCACATCAGGGCTCAGAGCTTAATGATTTTAGCCCCCACGTGAGTCCTTTGTTGGCTGGGTACCTTTGTGCAGTATACAACCATCCATGCAGCTCTCACTGGGTGCTTGATGGGGTCATTTCTGAAATGAGGATTTAGGAAGGGCAGAGAGGAGCAGATGATAATTGATTTGGATCTGGTGGGCTGAAGCGCGATGGGGCATCTAGGTAGAGATGTCCAGGAGACAGGTGGAGGGGACAAAGCTGAGCCCTGGGGAACAGGGGACTCCACAGCTGCCTCACAGCATTTTCTCTCTCTTTCTGCCCGCAGACCCCCTCCCTCTCCCCTGGGTGCTGCAAGAAGTGGAGCTAAGGCTGCTGGGAGAAGCTGCCTGTCAGTGTCTCTATAGCCGACCGGGCCCCTTCAACCTCACTTTTCAGCTATTGCCGGGGATGCTGTGTGCTGGCTACCCAGAGGGCCGCAGGGACACCTGCCAGGTGAGGGGAGGCCCCTGCACCTGCCTGACAAGGCCAGGCAGAGCAGGGTGAGAAACAGACAGATCCCATCTTTTTCATATCTCCGAGCCTTAGCTGCAAAAAGAAGACAAGATGCCAATGGATTAGATTGATGTGAAGATTATAAACGGACAGAACTTGGGGCTCAACAGTGGGCACTGTTATTTATGGCAAGATAGTGCAGTGATTATGTGCCAGACTCTGGAGTGAGTCTGCCTGGTTTGAAGCTCTGCACCACCACATATTAGCAGTGTGATCTTGGCCAAGTTATTTAACCTCACGCCCAGACTTTGTCATCTGGAAGATTGGAGATGGTAGTTTTACCTACCTCATGGGGTGGATATGATGAATAAATTAATTTGTATATGTAAGAGCTCTTAGAACAGTGTGTGGTCTTTAATAAGAGCTAAATAAGTATTCGCTATTAATATTGTCATACTCCCACTTCCCAGTTCTCCCTGGGTGCTTGATGGAGCCATTCCCGAGGCAAAGATGTAGAAGGACAGAGTATAGCACCTGTTAGTAGATATCAATAAATAGTTATCCTTTAAAGGAATTAATCCTCCACAGAAGGGAATTTTCCAGATGACCTGCTGAAGGCCAAAATATAGTATATTTTGACCATTTTCCCCAGAAACCTTTCTCAAATCACACACATTTTTTAGGGTGCTCAGTGTGCATGGTGGTGATGGGGACTCAGGGTAGGTGGTCTGCAGGGTCCCTCCCAATTATGAGGTTCTGGGACCTATGGACATACTCCTCTGCCTTTATCAACAGGATTGCAAACCAAATTCCTCGAGAACAGTGCTGTCCAGCAGAATTTCCTACAGTGATGGAAATATTCTGTATCTGCACTGTCCAGGGTAGTAGTCACTAGCCACATTGTCTACTAAACACTTGAAAAACATTTGCAATGTGGTTAGTGTAACTGAGGAATTAAGTTTTTAATTTTATTTAGTGTCTGCCGTATTGGACAGCACAGTTCTAGAGGAGTCTGAGCCGTCTTTGTGACCCTGTTCAGGCACAGAGATACCTGAGCTGGACTACAGAGATGTCTTAGGGACAATTCCTCTAAGCATGAACTAGCCCAGACCCACCGTTTTAGTGTCTGGTCATTGTAGTTCTTCCTCCTGTCTCTTCTGGTTGCTTTTAGATTTCCTTTTTTTTTTTTTAATTTACTCATTTTATATCTTATTGCTTTCAGAGAGAGGAAAGGAGAGGGAGAGAGAGAGATAGAAACATCCATGATGAGAGAGTCATTGATCGAGCCCGCAACCCAGGCATGTGCCCTGACCGGGAATCGAACCTCGATCGCCTGGATCCCAGGTCGACGCTCAACCGCTGAGCCACGCCTGGCCGGGCTAGATTTCCTTTTTTTAAAAAAATATTTTTTAAAAACATACCTTTATTGATTTCAGAGAGAGGAAGAGGGAGAGAGAGTTGAAACATCATCAGCCTTTCTGCTTTACAAGTCTTTCTTCTGTTTAGAGTCGTAGGAAACACAGAAGCTGACACAGCCAAGGCAGGGTCCTAGGAGACAGTGGCTGCATGCTGGGCCAACTAGAAGAGGTGTAGAACCTTTGGAAGGTGGCCCATCATAAGCTGGTGGGTACCTGGGCAGATCCCCTGACACGGTGTCATCTATCACCAGGGAGACTCAGGGGGGCCCCTGGTCTGTGAGGAACATGGACGGTGGTTCCAGGCGGGAATCACCAGCTTTGGCTTTGGCTGTGGGCGAAGGAACCGGCCGGGAGTCTTCACTGCTGTGGCTCCCTACGAGGCATGGATCCGGGAAAAGGTGATGGGCTCAGAGCCTGGGCCTGCCTTTCCAACCCAGTCCCAGGGGCCCGACTCAGGCCCCTGGGAGCCCATGGATGAAAACTGCACCATCGCCCTGCCAGGTGAGGGGGTGGGACCCTGGATGTCCCCTGAACATGGGAGACTGAGTTGGGATGGAAAGTGCTGGGGGCTCAAGAGGCCTGCTGACCCAGGCCTCTCACCCCTCAGTGTGCGGGAAGGCCCCGAGGCCAGGGGCCTGGCCCTGGGAGGCTCAGGTGATAGTGCCAGGATCCAGACCCTGCCACGGGGCACTGGTGTCTGAAAGCTGGGTCTTGGCACCTGCCAGCTGCTTTCTGGAGTGAGTGAAAACCCACGTCTCAGACAGATGCTTGCCCCTCCCCCCTTCGGCCTGAGACACTACCTACCTGGCCCCAGCCCTGAGTGGGGGGACCTCAGCCTGGACTGCCAGGGAGGGGGGCGTTCTCCTTGGGTGGTGTAGGACCCAGCTCACAAAGCACGGTCCTGGGCCATGGGGGCGAGTAGAAGGGTTAGTATAAGTTCGATCCAGGATGCGGGAGTCTGAGTGTGCGGTTCTCAGGCCTGTGATACAAAATCCCAGCCTGGGATACGGAGCCTAAGTCAGGGTGGGAGGTTTGAAGCCCGGGGTGCGGAACCCAGCTCACGTCCCCAATCTCCCCACCCCGCGGCCCAGCAG